ATTTTCCAACTTAGAGTTTATTTCATAAAATTCTGGGGATTTATTGTAGTTTGCGTCGTTTGTGTTGGTTGAGTAACTTTGACCATTTGTCCGAGTCATTTCATTGTTCACGCTACAGTTTCGTGACCTCAAATGCAAATTTCTATCTGTTGACTCCAAAATATTTGCAACCTTTGGACTCTCCGAATATACTTTGACTTCACCGCTCAATTTGCGGTCGAAATTTAATAGTTTTTCTTTTATTTCGTCGGCCTTTTCCCCCTTCACCGTCAAAGTTTTACTATTCGAATACCAACGTATCGAGACTTCCCCGCTTTCGAACAGTTTACAGTAACCTCCCGGGCTTGTCCACCCTTTACTAGATTGTAGTTGTAGTCGGTCAACAGCTAGACAAAGCTCTTCGAAATTCTTTTGCCATTTCAAATTGGCATTGGCTATCATTAAAATGCTGCTCTCAATTAGTTCGCTATCACTTGATGGCTTCGTGAGATTAACAAGCGAATTGTTCTGGTTGAATTCGGATTCAGTTAGGTTTAGATCTCCCTCTATGCTGTTTAATTCTTCTGTAGATCTGCTAATTTTGTCTCGTTTACCGTTGAATTCTGATTCGTTTCGATTCTGTGTTATTGCTTTAGACATTTTATTGCCGTAACAATACTTATTAACAAAAAATTTAAGAGTATACAGAGCACCAAATGCACGTCCTGCCTCTCTGACTGACTACCTCTCTGAATTCTGCCTCTCTGATGACTGCCTCTCTGTAATGTGATTTACAGAATTGCTTATATTTTTCAGGTAGTTGTATCTCATAGTTCATACCACGGCTGTCTGCTATTGTCACTCTATAACCCCGCACAAGGACGGAAATACACATCAAATGAAGATATAATGTATAACATACAACAGAACTGTAACTAAAACCACAAGTGTAAGCGATCCTTAAACACACACACAGAAAAGAGGCGGCTGTATTTTCCGATCAGCCGCCCACGAGTGAACCATGTATGCATGCGTTATACCACGAAAAATAACTTCGCCACACCGATCATATACTGCTAACAAAGCGATATAACTACCCAAAGGGCAAAAATCTTAACTAGACCCGAGAGAAAAAAACACGCTACAATACAGACAAATACCAATATGAATAAAAGAATCAAGTGCAAGTTTGATGTCTGAAGCTGTTCATTTTCAATTGGATCATTCACCGGCGAAACTGGTTCATTCTGAGGCGGAGCGGAATCAAGATCAATCGGTTGGGCAACAGCATTAAGTCGCAAGTACCGCTTCTTGTAAACGTGCAAGGGGGTCGAACAGGCGTGGAGCCATACTGTAAAGTCTGTAAATTTCTTTATCTTGCACTTCTCTGTCTTGGCGATCAGCACAGAAAGAGCAGTTACAACCTGTAAACTAGGGTTTTATGTATTGTACATCATTATTTATTCATAAAACAACGTTAATTACTCAAATTCCATTAGTTAATCAGCTTCCGCGGCGTGTTTGGCCAATTTGAATAGTCATTATTTTCATTAAAAATAATACATTTTATTTCACTTACCCCCCACAAAAACACGATTTCAGCCATATTTTGCCGTTTTGTTTGCTTTTTATCGCCGAATCTGGAAAATATCATCCAGTTGTTGTAGTTTTACATAATCACGAATGGCTGAAGAAGATTTAAAAGAAGGTTTCATCAAGTTTGGAAACAGTGCAGTGTATTTTATCTTCGATATTGTGTCCTTCGATATTTCGTATGATATGGCGCCATTGCAATGGCGCGCCGCTTCTCTGCCCGATAAATGCCACTTATTCGTCTTCCCAATCGAAAAATTGAAAATATTAGTTGTATTTGAAGGGAGAGAACCTCCCAATACAGTTGTCTTGTCAGAATTCAAAAGAAGTAATTTAAAAGTCACGCGCAAGTTCGTAAAAACTCCTCGTTCGCTACAAGACAGGGGGGGGGAGGGGGTGAATATTTTCACGAAACGTTTGTTCGCCACCACAGAAACCTAACTAAATACACTATATTTATTGAATGTTTATGATTGATGATAAAAATACGCAAATATTTATTGTTATTATCATCAATCATAAACATTCAATAAATATAGTGTATTGAGTTAGGTTTCTGTGGTGGCGAACAAACGTTTCGTGAAAATACTCACCCCCTCTTGTCATGTAGCCCACGAGGAGTTTTCACGAACTTGCGCGTGACTTTTAAATTACTTCTCTTGAATTCTGGCAAGACATTTTGTATTGGGAGGTTTCTCCTTTCAAATACAACTAATACTTTTCAATTGGGACTATTCTACAACGAATTACTTCTGGATACTGTAATCTAAATACATAGGAAGACGAAGAAGTGGCATTTATCGGGCAGAGAAGCGGCGCGCCATTGCAATGGCGCCATATTACACGAAATATCGAAGGACACAATATCGAAGATAAAATGCACTGCACTGTTTCCAAACGTGATGAAACCTTCTTTGAAATCATCTTCAGCCATTCATGATTATGCAAAAGTACAACAACTGGATGATATTTGCCAGATTCTGCGATAAAAAGCAAACAAGACGGGAAAATATGGCTGAAATCGTGTTTTCGTGGGGGGTGAGTGAAATAAAATGTATTATATTTAATGAAAATAATGACAATCCTTATGAAATCCACAATAATTGAATTAAATTGAGCATAGTTTTTCACCCCATGATAAATTTTTTAGGAAATAAGAAAATGTATTTTCTGCCAGGCATATTAGTTATTTTGTGCATAATTAGCAATTTACCTGGGGTGGTGCATGGTCATTTTCCTGTAAAATATAATACTTAGACAAATTTTTCCTTCTAATGACCAGCCCTAAAACCAACCATTCTGAACACTATAAGCACTTTAGAAAGGCTATTTCTTTTCCGATTCGGAAATTATAGCTATATCGACACTGTCGTTTCAGGCCGGGGTCATTTTCAGGACTTTCTTCCCGGATTCAGGTTTTGGCAGATATGCCATGTTGACCGTCATGGTCATTTTACCCTAAAACAGTTGAGATTACCTGTCCTAAATGAAACGCATACAAACTCATATCCAGGTCGTAGACTATGGCGTAAGTTGTTAATGTGGAAAGATGAGGTCGTTTTTCACATATCGTCAGATTAAGGAGCGAGTCAGCATTTACTACTATTAAGTATACTAGTTTGTTATTAATTATTTATTATTAATGTATTATTATTATTAATTTATGTATTACAGGATTGCGGCATAAGCTTTCTACAATAGACCACCTCCATAATGCAGCTTGGTTTAAATATTCTTTTATGCTTTCCACCCTATGCCCGACATAACAATCCTAAACGTATCGAAGCATGAGTGTTGCATTGATTGAGTTCTGTTTACTGGGCTGCACGGTAGACAGTATAATAAATCTGACACGTGATTGGGTTAATTTGGCTTGGGGGTTAACAATCCCCCAGCCGCTTTATTTTAAATTTTCATAACAGAAATTAATTAATTATATATAAATATATATTGCACATGAAAGATGTGCTCAAACAGTTTTGCCCAGTAAAGGTGAGGGCTAGATTACGCCATCACTATACATACAAACTAAAAAACTAGCATATGGATGCAATACTGGGGAGGAGGCGGGTGAAAAGTTGACAAAACTTAGAAATTGTCTACGACAATATATATATATATATATATATATATATATATATATATATATATATATATATATATATATATATATATATATATATATATTTATTTATTTATTTATTTATTTATTTATTTATTTATTTATTTATTTATTTATTTATTTATTTATTTATTTATTTATTTATTTATTTATTTATTTATTTATTTATTTATTTATTTATTTATTTATTCTTTCCACCCTATACCCGACATAACAATCCTAAACGTATCGAAGCTTGAGTGATTGAGCTCTGTTTACTGGGCTGCACGGTAGACAGTATAATAAATCTGACACGTGATTGGGTTAATTTGGCTTGGGGGTTAACAATCCCCCAGCCGCTTTATTTTAGATCTTCATAACAGAAATTAATTAATTATATATAAATATATATTGCACATGAAAGATGTGCTCAAACAGTTTTGCCCAGGAAAGGTGAGGGCAAGATTATGCCAAAGCATCTTACTCTACTAAGATGCACCCCACCCCAGGCAATGCAAGACTCAAGTCTCCATCTGCTATTCGTCATATGAAGATAAAGTGAGACACAATGAATCACAGACGCCCCTGCAAGCTGTGAATTGCGATGTGTCAGTGCGCAAGAATATAGTAAATGTAGGTTCTAACAGTAGCATGCAGTAAAGTACCAAATAACTAATATGAAAATAATTCTATACAACAGCCGCCCGTGCTAACTGTTGTTAAGAAACTCCTGTTAATCTACAAGCCTGGAAAAATGAAGCCAGCGGCCCTTGCACACTGGTAAACTATGTAATAATATACAACCGCAACAACAAGTACCAGCCCCTGCTTGGTACCAGTTATCACCTGCATGTTGTAAAGTAACCAAATACTAAATAAATGAAACCGCAACAAGCAACAACCAGTACCAGCCCCTGCGTGGTACCAATTGTCGCCCGTTCACAGCTGCATCTTTACGGTAATTAGAGAAGGCCTTACCCCAAGACTCCCCGCTAGTCTTGTAGATAGGACATAATTATACAAATAATATTAGAAGATAGAAGTAAAAGTTAGGTGGAGGGCGATGAAACCCTGATGTATTTCTGAAAAGCATTAGACTTCCATCGCCCTAATGTGCGGATTTGTGCATCCGACATCCCCTTTTCTGCAGCATAAGAATCGGCCCCAATTCGGAAACTGTGAGATTTATAGCGAGTTGGATTTAGACCGCAAAATTTTATGGCTTCAGACAGCCGTGCAGCGAAAACTTCCCTGGTGACTGGGTTGCCCTGTTGTGTGATAAAAATTGCTCCAGGTTGTTTACCACGCAATGCTAGGTAGTCGAGAAGGAGAGCAATAGGGCAACACGAATGCTGGCATTGTACCGACAAGGTGAATGGACGTTGATTATAATGGTGTTTAAAATCCAAAAAGGTCAAAGTAAACCCAACCACGTGTTTACTAGAGCCATAAACGTAAGAGATTTGATGCAATTGTAGGTTGACAACCAGCATTCGTCGTTGCCGTAATTTCACCGATCCGCAAAAAGCCAAAAAATGCCAAGGAACACATGGCTTGAAATTGGCATACTTGATAACGTGAACCTTGAATATTAGGAGCAGCGTTAAGTAACATTTCTAAAATGGGCAACGTAATAGGCAAACGACTGTCTAAACGTGCGCCATTTTTCGCGTATCCCTTTAACAACTGAATAATGTAGAAAACCCGAGTTGGGTCGGGCAACCCAGATAGCTTATGAGAGTAGCCAATGGCGGATACATAGGTATTGACAGTAGACGGAGCGTAATTGCGATCAAATAAGTAAGCAATGAAAAGTGCTAATGTGGCAGGAAAAATAGGCATTGTGAAGTGGGCTGTCTGGTATACCGTATTTACTCGATTGAGCGCCGCCCCCGATTGAGCGCCGCCCCCGAATGAGCGCCGCATTTGAGATCATTTTAGATCTTCTGTTTGATAGCCTAATTAT